GTAGCGAGAGAGAGAGAGAGTGAGAGAGAGAGTGAGAGAGAGAGAGAGAGAGAGAGAGAGTGAGTGAGAGAGAGAGAGAGAGCGAGAGAGCCCCCGGGGGTAGACGCACAAAACGCGGCTCTGACAATACGTTTCCGAGGCAACACAAAACACGCCGCCACCGCGCGTCCACCCCGCACACACGCGCGCTCACCTATTGTACGTGTAGGTAAGCGGCGCATTCCGTCTCCACCTCGGTCTCCCTCACGCTCCACCGTCCCGCTCCCGCGCCTCATTCGCCACCCACCAACATCAACCACCGTCACCGTACACACATGAGTACACACTCATCCTCCTCCACGTTGTCCTACGTCTGCTCGTTCTCCTCGTTCTCCCTAGTCCCGCTGACACCCCCACCATCGCAGCACGTATCCCAATCCCCCGCTACCCCTGGCCGAGGAACTATGGTCCTCGCCGCCCTCGCCGCCGCGCCACCCGGGCGTTCGTCTCTCTAGTATTCCTCATCCGCTGTTCGATAAAGGTGCGATTCCGCGATCGTCGCGGATGCGTGGGTGGGCGCGCGTCGGCTTCGGGCTTGAACCATACGAGCTTCCGAGCGGGAGCCAAGAGGTAAACAAAGCGCATGGAGACGTCACGTGGGGGGCTGGCCGCGGATGCCTACCACTACTCACCGGTGTACTTGTCCGTGGGCTTAGGCGTGGAGGTCATCCTCAGCTCGATCCCTCGATCCTGCCACGAACCTCCGCGCGTATCCTGGGCCGCGACGGGGCGGCGCTGCGGCACACGTGCGCACACCAGTCGTAGAGGCGCGCACTCGGGGCGCAGCACACGCGACACTCGGCCGGCGCGGCGCGCGCATTATCGCGGCACTCCGGGCGCCTCGTCACCGGCGGCCACGCGCCCCCCGAACGTCATCCTCGAATGTTGCTTCCACCGCTGCTGCTGCTGCTGCTGCTGCTGCTGCTGCTGTCGCTGATGCTGTCGCTGATGCTGCTGATGCTGCTGCTGCTTGTGCTAGTGCTGGTGCTGGTGGTGGTGCTGCTGCTGCTGCTGCTGGAGTTGGACGAGCGTACAAAACTCCGCGAGAGGGGCGCGCGCGCGTTCTGCGAGAGACTAACTCCCCCTTGCCTCACTCTTTCTCTCTCCGCTCTCGAGGCGGCGGCAGCGGCAGCGACGTTCTACTGCTCCCTCTCTCTCTCTCTCTCTCTCTCTCTCTCTCTCTCACGTCCCCGACCCTTCTAATGCTCTCGTACGCACGCACACACATGCACACTCACTATCTTGCTCTCTTTGTCTCACTCTGTATCTTTTACTAACGCTCGCTCTCTTTCGCTCGTTCCAAGCACGTTTGTGTGCGCGCCTATGTGCAAGCGCACGGGATGCGACTCCCGCGGCATCTGGGGACGGGAGGTGCAAGTCGAGACGCAAGGGTCGCCACTCGCCGCCAAGGGTCACGACTCCGCGCGACCGTCACGACGACCACTTGCCGCAACCAACGTCCTTCCCGCTTTCTTTATTTATTACTCGCGTCATCGAACCTCCGATGCTCGATGCTCGACGTGCAGCGTTTCCATCCGTTCTCGTGGCTCCCCTTCCCCTTTGGCAAGCCATCCACAGCACCAAATCGTCCGCTCCATCATCTTCTCTCTCTCTCTCTCTCTCTCTCTATCTATCTCTTTCTCTCCTTCCCAATCTCTCTCTCTCTCTCTCTCTCTCTCTCACTCTTTGCCTCCTGCGCGCGCTTTCTGTATACCTTAGATGTCAAGACGGTAGGAGAGCACTTTGTGCGAAAGATAATCGAAATATTGATGCAAAAACTGCTGTCTTTTTATCGTTTACATAAATGTCCGACCGACATTTATTATAACCCGTCAAAATGATCTTTCCTCTCACTTCCGCGATCACGTGATATAGTCCGAGTGCTTTGCTTCGACAAATAGCTGCGGCACATTCCTTAATTCCCATATGACTTTGACAATGCTACGGCACACGTAACAGAAAGCTTATTCCTCAAAGTGCTGAAATCTTCACTTAACCACCGATTATAATCTTCATTTTACTTTTCATTCTATAATAATTACATTAATAATAATAATGTTTAGTTTTTTTTTTTATGATTTAGTGTTGCGTTGTATTTCGCAGAAAAATCTTATTCAAAACAGTGATTTAGCATACTGTAAAATTAAACGTTTTTGGTTAATCGATGAAGTAGATCTCTCTACCTCATCTCTACTCTATTATGCTAATTAGCATTATCGTATTCTAAAAATGTTTTAGTAATTATGCTGCATAATATGATGTAAATATAAAAGTGGAAAATAAATAATTACCAATACGTACCAATTGTCCCTGCAATATAAAATTTTTACTACAATGTATTTGAAAAATAATTGATAAATGTCATTGTTAGGAGGCGATCGATGAAAAATTTATTACGGCAAATAAATTAATTTACAGTAAGGAAGGATCCATAATAATGCCGTATCGCATGGTCGCCAGTAATATTTGAGGTTTCAATAAATTTTGAAAACCTAAAATAAAATGAACTATTCCTTATATTATTAATAAACCTGTAAATAAAAAATTTACATTATACATACATTTGTAATGAACAATGTAGATAATAATAATCGTATTAACGAGTAGAGTTTTATTTATGCGCACTTATTATTTAATGCTTTATACGCGATATTGACCAACTGAGAAATTTTGAACTATTCGTTAAAATACTAAATCTTTTATCTTGACGTTTGTATAAATATTACCAGCATAGAAAAACATTAAATCACTATTGACCGATTGAAATTATTGTTTCGTGATTATTGTTAAAGCTTATTTGAGTAATAGACGGAGAGCAACGTAGTCGAGTGTCAAGTAATAATGTGGTCTTTCAAATAAGGCGGGAAAAATAAATGAACTCGCGGGCGAATGCGCGTGCAGCGATTAATGGCTGACGTACAGCTGTTGCGCATTTGACGATTGTGGCTTTTGCGTTTCATTTCATCGGCTCACGATTGAAAGCTTGAAAAGCTTTAGAAGAATTGCGTCGCTATAATAGATAGCAATTCTTCGCGTGAGATCGAATGTCGAGCGAGTCACGGGGAGAGGAGTTGGAAGGTCGGCAATTGTTAGTGTAGGAACCGAGCCGAGTATCATCAAATTTGGAGGTTATGACGGGAGTGGAACGACATCGATTTCCTGCCCGTTAGTGCTGTTAATTCTCGAGGCCGAAGCTACCGTGTCAAATTCAAATTGATAAACAAATGCGTGAGTGGGCATGGAGAGGTAGCTGCTTTACAATAATCGCTCGATCGAATCAATGTATTGCGACGTTAAATTAACAGTTGCACTGAGAAGCGTAAAAACGAACGGCAGGTGACACGCACACGTCCCGTTCTCGCCTAAACATCGCGGTTTCGCACTCCATAATAGTTATAATAGTGATCGAATAAGCCAGCGAAAATGGGAAACTTTGGATTAAAGCAGCATTACGAGATGGCCAAGAGCACAGGTACGTTAGATCTGTCCCGGAGACAACTCGACAAGTTCACCGATGACCTCTTAGCCTTGGCGCCGTTCCTGCGTAGTCTCAACCTCGCCGACAACAAGTTCACCGTGCTCTCTGTCGAGGTCCAAAAACTGACATTGCTAAAAAATCTCAATCTAAGCGGTAACAGACTTACCCAATTACCAGAGGTTATCGGTACTCTCGTCCAACTGAAAAGGCTCAACGTCAGTTCCAATCAAATCTCTGCTCTTCCGGTTTCCTTGTCCAAACTCAAGCATCTCGAACAGGTCAGTCAGTCGTCCAAGCTTTAGCTACGTTTATTTTGATCATTCATATTGTTATTCGAGTGCATATATTTAATAAAAAAAAAAAAAAAAAAAAAAAAAAAAAAAACACAAAAAAAA